ATCAGATATTTTATATGAACTCCGCGGGGTCGTCTTCACACTTGATCCAAATGAAAAACAAGTGGGTGATGAGATAATTGCTCTTCTTCAACAAGGGGGGAAGTTTGATAGCAACGGGAATGACAACAATGAACTCGAGTCTTTTTATCTGGCTGCTTCTAAACTTGGTATCACCTCATCAAGAGCAGCCCTCAGAGAAAGAAGAGCTTTGAAAAAGCTCATAGAAAGGGCACAGGGTGAAGAAGATAAGAGAAAAGAGTCCATTGTTGCATACCTATTGCTTCTAATGAAAAAGTATTCAAAGTCATTTAGAAGTGAACTATCTGATGGAAATGATTCACAGGGGTCAACACCATGTTCTCCAACTGTTCAAGGATCTCTTGAAGGACATGTACACGCCTTCGATGTGCGATTTTCAAAGGTAAGTTCTTTCAATTTTAAACCTATGAAAGTAGACCAGATGAATGTCATCCCCCCTGAGGAGTTGAAGTGCCCAATCTCATTACAGCTCATGTATGACCCAGTGATCATTGCATCTGGACAAACGTATGAAAGAATTTGTATTGAGAAGTGGTTTAATGATGGGCACAATACATGCCCAAAAACTCAGCAGGAGCTTCCTCATCTTGATTTGACTCCTAATTACTGTGTGAAAGGCCTGGTTTCTAGTTGGTGTGAACAGAATATGGTTCATGCTCCAGATGGCCCACCAGAGTCTCTTGATCTTAACTATTGGAGGCTCGCGTTGTCTGAAAGCGAATTTGAGAATTCCAAATCAGTTGAAAGTGTGACTGGATGTTGCAAGTTCAAGAGTGTTAAGGTGGCACCTTTGGAGGAAAGTGGTACTATGGAGGAGGCTGAGATTGACAACTCTGAACAGGATGATGAATTCCTCAGATATGGGGATTTTTTGACTGTTCTATACCGCGACGATAATCTCAGGGAAAAATGTGAAGTGGTAGAACAGATGCGGCATTTGCTAAAGGATGATGCAGAAATCAGGATTTATATGGGGGCAAATGGCTATATTGAAGCTTTGCTGCAGTTCTTGGAGTCTGTTGTTGAAGCTAAGAATGAGATGGCTCAAGAAATTGGTGCTATGGCTCTCTTCAACCTTGGTGTAAATAATGACAGGTACTATCTTTCAATAGGTTGTAATAAGTGCGTAATAAATCTCACCCAGGAGCAAAGTCAAAGTTAATTAAAAACACGGGGTGCAAACTGCAAAGTCAAATATTGGGGGAAACTGGAAACAGGTGGTGCAAATACGGAATTTCTTTTCTTAGCCATGAAATTCAATCAAATATTATACGGAGTATGGAATTTATTACTCCCACGTTATTTATATAGTAGTAACATTTATCTTTTCACGGAGTTTAAGATTAAAATAGTAGGTGTAGTGAACAGTGTAGAAAAATGTAAAAAGTAGGAGAGGGATAAGAAAAAATTTGAAAGGGAAGATGAAAAAGTAAATTAAGTTTTTTTAGATGAAAAGCTTACGAAAAAGTGAACGTGGTAGAAGTATTTAAATATTTCCAAAAAGGGAATATGTTGCAACTATTAAGTATGGAGGGAGTTTTACCTTTTTTCGCTTCTTTTTTCAGAAACATTGAAATGATGCTAGCTGGGGGAGTACTTCAATTGCTGGGGAAAATGATGACTAACTTAAGCTGCTGTGGAGCAGTCACTGCACTTTACGTGAACCTTTCCTCCCTTGAAGAAGCCAAGTCTGTGATTGGAGCCAGTGAAGCTACACCCTTCTTGCTGCAGGTCCTTCAACAACATGATTCTGATATCCGGTGCAAATTGGATGCTCTCCATGCCATTTTCAACCTCTCCAACCAACCAAGTAATGTAACACATCTCCTGTCAGCCGGGATCCTTGATTGTCTTCTAGCCTCGATGGCGTATTCCGATGACCATAGTTGGACAGAAAAATGCATTGCTATTCTGATAAACTTGGCGTCCAGTAGTAAAGCTGTAAAAGACCAAATGACATCAGCTCCTGGCCTTATCAGTAGGCTAGGATCTATTCTGGAAGTAGGTGGTGCAGTTGAACAGGAGCAAGCTGCTGCATGTCTTTTGATATTGTGCACTGGAAGTGAGAAATGCAGTGAGATGGCGCTTCAAGAAGGAGTGATACCTTATTTGGTGTCAATATCAGTTAACGGGACAGTTAGAGGGAAACAAAAAGCTCAGAAGCTATTGACGTTGTTTCGGGAGCAGCGACAGAAGGAGCAGCCGTCAACCATTGTTAAATTTAGTAGGCTACAGCCTCAGCTTAGTAGTGATTTGGATATCTGCACTGAAAATCCGAAGCCGTTGTCGAAGTCAGTTTCATCAAGAAGAAAGTTGGAGAAGGCATGGTCTTTCTTTCGAAAGAACAAGAGTATTTCGGCGTATCAATGATATAATCTTCTTACTAGTATGTCAATCTGTTCTTTTCTCCTTATATATACCGGAATAACCGGAGTATATATTTTCTGTCCTAATGGGCATTAGGTTGTCAGCGTTAGAACTTTTTACAAGGGTGTATTTACCATGGTTTATTTTTATTACAAAACAAAAACAGAGAGGCAGCATATCTTGGTAAACTTGAAGTGATCTTTCTGGCTATGGAAGTTCGATGCATAAATCCAAAATCCATGGGAGTATATGACATGTGGAAGTGAGTGTCCATTTTCATAGTCTAAGGAGTGCTCGGTTTTTAATCTTACCAAAATATAAATCAGCAAACCAGATAGAGAAATACAGGATTTTTAGTTATTTTAATGATCATAGGAGAAAAGTTTGTTGATAAAGTTGGTGGTGTTTAGAAATAAAAGTGATGTAAAAAGTAACATTTGCTGTATTATTTGGGTGAAATATTACAAAAGAAAAAAACTGTTTTAAACACCCTTTTGTTTTTAGCTTTTAATTTTAAAATGCTCAAATTTAAGCAGAAATCTGATAGGAACCGGACAATTTACTGTGTATTAATTCAGGAAATAGTAGTCTTGAAGCTATTACAATGGCAGTCTATATTACGACTATCAAGAGAAGAAGAAGAACAACAACATCCAAGCCTTAGTTCCAAAAGATATTGAGGTCGACTAACCTGAATCGATACATGATAACACCACCAAAAGGAAAAGAAAGAAAATAATGTTTATATATATATAAGGATAAAAGAATAAAAAGAAGAAGAAAAAAGATGAGGGGAAATAATAATAATACGAGATCACTCCTCTACACCAATATCCGCCCTCCACTTTGCTCTCTCCAAAGTCATACTCTCATCCAACCCAAGAAGAAGCATATCACTTCAGACTGCCCTAACATGACATGAATCGAAATATCAAGAGAAGAACGCAAAAGAGAAAAAGAACAATAGTGACACTTCGAGTAGTCTCAACACTCCCAAGTCCCAGTCCTCTGCCTACCTCTATTTCCCCCCTTCCTACTCTTATTATACTCATCTCCTAAATGGGCCAGCCTCAGTTAGGGAGTGTTTGCGGTTGCTTGTGCTTTTTAAAAGTGATTTTTTTAAGAGATTGTTGGAAAAGTGATTTATAGTAAAAGTAGGTAGTGTTTGGGAATAGAAGTGATTTTAAAAAAAATGTAAAGTTGGAGTGTTTGGTAAAAAAAGTGATTTTTAGTGGAGTATTTTGTTAAAGTACAAAAATGCCCCTCAAATAAATTAATATTACTCCTTACTGAATGCCAACATTCCATCGTTCAATCTACGTTTTTCTCACACCTTCCCAACAGGCTAGAACCTCATTCGAATCCTAACATTGCATTCAAAAAGTGTATATTATTGTTTAGAAATTAGAAAGAATAGTACTTTGGACTTGAATACTTCGTTCCATACTTTCTGCAGAATACTCCTACATCACTCCTTGCATACTCCGTTCATACTCCGTTCCAGACTTGGTTCGGAAAGAATATATTCTACCCTTAAATCTAGGATTCTCAACACTTTCTGTCTTTTAATACTTCTAATTAATCCTCTTAGTTCAGAAAAAACTTTTAGATCTCTTCAATTTCAAATCAAATTGTGGAGCTCTCCGTCGAATCTGTGTACTGCTTGGCCACCAGCAGCGACATCGCACGACACATTCGTCTTCATCACCGGCGGAACATAGCGGCGGCAGAACAGAGCGGCGGCGGCGAACAGCTTGGCCACCGGTGGTCCTAGATTCTACTGATAATTGATGAAAGTGGAAGGGGTTCTATTATGTTCGAAGCCGTTCTGGTACGAAGGATGTGACGAGGACGAAGGGTAGCTTTGGGGATAAAGGAATTTGTTTAGGAATTGAAATGCCCTTAAAGTTTGACTTATTTACCAAAAAGCCTAGAAGCAGATAAAAGCATCCTCAACCTAGCTTCCAACTTCTGGCTTAAAACTACTTAAATTAAGTAGAATTTTTCATTTGCAAACACTACTTTTGACTTTTTAAAAGCCAAAAGTCCAAAAGTGCTTAAAATAAGCAATAGCAAACACACCCTTAGTAAGCTACTTATCTTTCCCCCTGCCTAGAACCCACTTATTGTACAATATCCAATACATAATATTATTCTTAAAACTAGTATTGTCTAGGTCCCTATCAAAATCCCTACTTATAAACTCCATTTTTAGCCTATTATAGCATACTGGACAAAAATCCTTCCAAAAAGCAATGAAAATCATTCAGAGTTAGGTTACCAAAACCCACAGCTAAGACTCAGTTACTTCCAAATTGAACCCGAGATGGTAGAATATTTGCATTCATGAATGACTAGCCATTTGGGTAGTGCAGTGGTTGCCAATCAGGCCTCCACATTTTGGCATGACTTTTTATTGGATTTATTTGGGTAAGCTCACCGCCTGCCATTTAAGGCCTGCCTTCATTGTAGTTCTAGTTTGAAGGTTTATATTTGAAATTAAGCCTTTCTTATCTCGTTGGAGAGATTGAATTAAGTTGAATGGTGAATGAGAACCTTGTTACTTTTTAGTTTTTATTTCAAGAGACTTAAAATGAAGGAACGAGCTTGAGTTGGCGAACTTATATTCTGCAGCTATTAATCCAAACAATATTCTCAGGAATAGAATTGTCTTGAGAGAAATTCTATTCTAGGATTACATGGCAACAAATCAAACATACGTAGTATTAAAATCAAGCTAAATGCTAATCATGACTACGATTTCCCTTCCTTCTGTTCTTATTCCTCATCTTCCTCAACCTCCTCATTGCTCTATGTTCAACTACTGTATCGGTCCGATTAGTGGTAACAATATCTCCTCCCACCTTCAACTCATCACATGCACCTTTTTTCTTTTGAAAAAGCTTAATGAGTCCTTCAAGGGCAACATCTGCCTTATCACTCTTCATCAGCTCTTCTGCAATCTCAGCAGGTGTCACATTCACCTCCGTTAAGAGTTTGTCGATATCCGTGAACTTGGGGTGATCTTTCAGGCCATGGTAGTTCGATGCAAGAACCCGAAATCCACCTGGGGTGCAATATGACATGAGGATGTGCATGTCCATTCTTCCCGGTCTAAGTAGTGCTGGGTCTAACCTGTCCTTGTAGTTGGTCGTCAACACAATGATCCTTTCATCCCCACAAGACGACCATAATCCATCAATGAAGTTCAGTATACCAGATAGCGTTACCTATTCATTACCAACAACAATAATAGAAACATTACTGATGAAAAGTCTCAATAATCGGCCTATTAGGAAGTACTTTCTTTGGTCCCATGACTTTTAATAATACATTTTTATTTTGGTTTCCAACTTTGGGTGCATCAATGCATGACTGTAATTTTCTGATCGGTTATGCAGTGAAAAAACAACCGAAGTTTGCATAGTGAAATTGGATGGACAAGTGATCGCAAGGGACCAAAATTGTCAAAAGTCTATAATTAGGCACCAACAGTGTAAAATGAAAACCATTGAGCAGGAGCTAAATATCTTAAATTAGTTAATCCATGTAAATATAACATTTTTTTAAGATTCTTGAGAAACTTGTTATGGTTTTTTCATTTTACAAATTTTGATATTTCCCTTTTAGTGTATCTCTAGATTTTGAACAATTACCCTCCATAGTATAAAATTTTACAAACAACGGAGTATAAGCGAAGCTAAATTTAAGGCAACTAATCACTCACATTTATAATTGGGAAATTTTCCAGAGTAAAAAAAAATGTTTTGACAAGTTGTAATACGGAGTACCATGTTTCTCTAAACAAGAGTAGATACCGTTTCTCTTAATTGTAGGATGACATTACTTACTCCAGCTCATAAAACACAACACAACACTCTAATTTATTAAAATCACCGTCTTTACTCATTTTTCAGGTAATTACTTTTTTTAATACAAGTATTCTAAATTTATTATTATTACCTATATTTTTTGCCTACATTCCTGAAAAGTTAAATGTAACACCCAATATTGCATGACAAGCATGAATATTGACAAAAAGTTAAGAGCCCGTTTGGAGAACTCTGTTTTCGGCTTATCAGGCTTATCAGCCAGCTTTTTCACCAAACACGTAACTTTTACTTTCGCGCGCTGAATTGTGTAATAAGCCGAAAAAGTAAGGTTGGAGTTACTTTTCTGGCTGTATTGGCTGAAGTTACTGTAGAGGACCATTTTAGCTATTTTTACATATAATTTTTTCTTTAATTTATTAATAAAATATATTTTTAAAAATTTTTTTTCTTAAATCAGCAGAATCAGCCAAAACAGCCACTCCAGCCAGAATATCATAAATTTCAGCAGAATCAGCCAAAACAGCCGATTTTGGTGCTACCAAACGGGCTCTAAATGTAACAACAAATTTACTCCTACCCTTACTCCTTCATATACCCGTGTGTATATGTCTCAATGATTTAATGAAATACTTGTACTTCCCCGTTCCTTAAAACATGATTAAGTTGATCGGCATGAGAATTAAGAAAGTAAATAGTGTGTAATAAATGTTTGTGCGCATCCAGGGACGGAGCCAGAACGCAGTCATAAGGGGGGCCAAGAAGAAACACAAACACTAAAGAAAAAAATCTCTAAATAGGACAAAAAAAGTTTATAAACAGGATTATCATTGTTTTAATCACAAAATAGGACTTATTGACTCCTATTTTGGCAAACTTTAATCAAATAATTTTCAATAGAACTAAATAAGATCTATTCGAGGAGTAAAACATAGTTTTTCATATTATTTTTAATGAGGAATGTCCTTTCAGAATTACATGACGGGATCCACCATCCGGATGTCTGTGTTTGATGTGTTTCCGGATGGATTTTTTGGGTGAAATTTTATGACAATATTCTTCATGATGTGTAGATTATTTACACATAATTTCAATTTAAAATTCAATTGACAAATCAGTTAAATAAATTATTGAAAAACACAGTACCAAAAAATATAAAAAAAAAAACTCAGTGTTTTTCCATGATTTATTTAATTGACTCTCCAATTGCATGTAAGCTGAAATACACAAAAATTCATCAAAAAATTCTACCCGAAAGCATCTCACATAAAAGCTTCTATCGAGTAGTTTTGACCCAATCTTTATTGATTATTTCATTTATAATAGTAGTAGTACTAAAAAATAAAAAAGTTGGGAGGGGCCATACAAAAGGAGACTGAAACCTATGTAATCAGAACCGGACTGGACCGGGCGGGTCGACCAGGAAACTGGCGACCCGGCACCTGAACCGGTCCGGTGGACATAAACCCGTAAATTGAGGTAAAACCGGAAAAACCCACTGGCCCGTTCTGACCCGGGCCGGACCCGCGACGGCCCAAACCCAGGAAAACCGGGAATTCCTCCAAGAACCTAGGACTCTAGGAGTGGGAATAGGAAATGCAGCCGTGTTTCCACTTCATCACCTATGCCATTTGGGATTATATGCTCTTTTAAGCGGCTTATTTCTTTAGCATACATATTAAAATTGAAGCATTCAGCAAGGATCTAAAATAACAAGAGTATCACCGATAACCATCCACCCTTGAGCCAGACTTTGAGTTAACCACCTTTAATAAAGCAGTATAACTCGCTGATCCTAAACTGGGCATAATTGAGTCAACAATGGTTACTGCAAAACTTTCATCACTCAGGTCTAATGCAAGAGTCTTACAAAACCAACCAAAAATACTAGTCTGAACATGAAACAAACTATAAAAAGCAATAATAAAATAAGCACCACCGTGGAACTTCTGCACCCTCAGCTGCACAAACACATCAGGCGGGCCTAGGAACAGCATACGTATGAGTATTAATTAATTCACACTTTATAATAATAGATATTGTAGTTATTATTTGAATATATAAAATTTCAAATATAAGTAAAAATACTTATATAATACGCCTAGTATTTTCAAGTAAAAATAAGTGTAATTATGTTCATGCAGTATTGTTTTTGAAAAAGTATACGGAGCAATATATTTCAAATATCAAATATTTTAGAATATTAAATAATTATGAAAAAGTTATGTAATTTTTTATACATGTACTTAAACATATCAAATAACATTATTGATATAGTTAGTATTTTCAATGCTTACTGTAATTATAGTTAATTGATTATTGGATACCCATTTTTAAAAATTTTATATATTATTAAATATTTAATAATATACTAAATTATAAAAGTTGACCTGATTTTCCCGGCGTTGACCGGGTTGAACCGCCGGGTCCGGGCTGACCCGTGACCCGATCATTCGTCCGGGTCGCTTCCCGGTCCGATTCTTGTAACATAGACTGGAACTATAAATTGCTTAGTTAAAAGGAAAAGTGATAAAATTAGGGGGAAATAAAAAGAAAAGTTAGAAGGGAGAGATAACAATTTAGAGTATTTTGAAAATGCAAGATAAAAATTATGTTACTCGTGTGACTCATGTTCGTCCCAATCCATTGGAGAAACAAAAAAGATAAATCGGCAAAGTTAAGGTAGGAGTATTTGTATTTCAGTATTTTCTTAAAAAACTTATAACCAACCTGAGGATAACTTGGATCATTACTCTGCTTGCCGTGATCTCCATTATTTCTGTTTTGCAAATCAATGCTGCAATCAATATCCTCAACCACAAGGATGGATTTGTTTTTAGTAGTGGGAAGCAGCTCCTGGAGATCCGAGTTGCTCCGTAAGCAAGAGAGATCCAGTTCATAGATGCTGAATTTCAGATAATTGGCCATGGCTGCTATCAGGCTCGACTTCCCTGTTCCCGGAGGCCCATACAATAAGTACCCTCTCTTCCACGCCTTCCCAACTCTCCTGTAATAATCTCTCCGGCTAACAAATCTGTCCAAATCTTCGATGATTTCCTTCTTCAGTTCAGGATCCATCGCTAGGGTCTCAAAAGTGGACGGATGCTCCAGATTAACCTCATCTGTATAGTTTCCTAACGCCATCAGCTTCACGCATTTGTTTTCTTCTTTTATGGCCTTCGATCTTTCCAGAACGAACGGTATATATTTGCTGATAACAATTTCACTGAATTTCTTGTTGAAGGAGAGTTCGAACGATTTCCGTTCCGTACTGCTCTCCGAAGAAGAAAAGCGATCAAACTCGGATTTCTGAGAAGTACTGGCAGTGACTTTCAATTCCCAGATCAATTCCACGCCGCCAAACGTGTCCGCGATTTTCTCATCTCTGCTAATGATGAATGTGATGCTTTTGTCCCTGGACGCCTTGGAGATTTTGAGCCTGCCAGCGGCAGGCTTCAGCATGGTTCTGAGATAGATTCCAGCGGCCTCGAAGATTTCATTTCGGATAAGGCCGTTCTGTTCATCAATGACGAGAGTTGTTTTGGAGGAGAAGTTGCAGATTAGGACTCCCAGTTTGGAAGAGAGCTTTTCCAGGAGGTCTCCAGGCAAGAACTGGTTAGCCAATGCTTTGAGCTCAGTCAGAACTGTCCTGACCAGGAAAGCTGAAGTGGTGAAAGCAGTGTATGTTGATAGAATGGAAGATGTTGAGGGAACATCAGAAAGGGAAATCATCTTCAAGTTTTTCTTCTCAGATCTTTTTCGCAAGGTTTTTCTAAAACATCCTGAATTCTGATGAGTGGCTTAGAAAGAAAGAAGCTGTTCTTGTCAACTTAATGCAAAGAAAGAAAGAAGGAAAGGAGTATATATTTAGGAAAATTCCTTTTGTACATGCCAGTTTTTACATGTCCAGTTACACGCCGTTCAAATTGTTTGTGTACAGACAATTTATCGGCTACCCAGATAATTTGATCGGTATTTTACGATGAAAACCAGTTTTTACACCGACAAAAATAAAAAAATGTTTGTGTTAGACATTTATGAAAAATTCACATCTAAAATGCCTTTGACACAGACGACTCTTTATTTTTGTCTGGATGAAATTGATTTTCTTTATAAAAAGTCGATCAAATTGTTTATGTACAGACAGTTTAACCGACTCATTTAATTCCACTTGCCACTGCTACTATTTCCTTTTTTTTTTGGATGAAATGTAAATATATATTAACACTCAGAATATTATACATCACATATCTTATATCTCCTAAAACCTCCCCCACCCCACATAATATGAGGGTGAAAGGAGGTTTTTATTCGATCTAATCTATGCCAAAATAACCAAATATTATACTTGGCCCATCAAGAGGTTCAAACATACATTGGTGCTGCACATGCACGAACACAATTCAGAGACTAATATTCTAAACAAAGTACAAAGGTGTTGCAAGATGCACACACCCTAAAATCCAAGACCATGCTTCATGCCACAGCATCCACGATGTCCATACCGCGGTGTCCTGGGTTCCCAAGCCGCGGCATCCAACCATGCCTCGACGCACCAAACAATCATGTAGCAGTCTGTCCAAAACCGTGGCATCCATAATATCCATGTCGTGGCCTTCTCAAAATGTAATCAAGTCATGCGAGTATAAATTGAAAAGTATTTTATACACCACATGCTTGACTTTTGCGATGATCTCCTCTTCCTTGACGTCCTCTTCATCAAATCGATTGGCATTCCTAGCGTGCCAAATGTAGTAAACCGCAGCGCAAAAAGCAATCCGGACAGCTTTCCCTTTGATCTTTGATCCTTTGTGGCCCTTCAGGATCCATTTGATCGAGCTGCTAAGCGTGGTCATCTCTCATGTCATGCCCAACCATTCCTTTATTTTTTCCCAGACCCTACAAGTGTAATGACTACAAAAAAATAGGTGTGGCGTTGTTTCCAATCCACCCTTGCAAAGGTCACAGCGATTAACAATATGTAGGTAACCTAGGTTATCCTGTGTAGGTAACCGATTCCTCAAAGCAAGCCATACGTTGAATGAGAACTTTGAGGGGATATAAGACTTCCGAATGAAGCTCATCCATACTCTCGGCGTCCCTTTAGTTCTCAACAACTCATAAATCTTTCCGGAAAGGAGTTTACCATTATCGGATCTAGTATTTAGGCCCATAATGGTATCATTCAAATTATTAAAGCAACCCAAATTTTGGTCCCGAATGTGACTCACACGCTCCTACCATTAAGGTAAACCCCATTGACCCACCCCACCCAAAGGGTGTCCTTTTTCCTATGAACATCCCAAAGTGTACGAGAGAGGAGAGCATGGTTCCAAACCTTGGCACTATGAATTCCAAGGCCCCCCTCTTCTTTTGGTAGACATATGTCGTCCCAAGCCACTTTAGAATATTTCCCACCCCATAGAAAAATTCGGCAAATAGAAACAATCCTATCCAAGATAGTTTGGGGGACCGGGAAGACTTGGAGCCAAAAAGATTGGACCCCTTGGATTACTGATCTAATTAGCTCCAGTTTACAGGCATAGGACAGGGTCTTTGTGTTCCACATCTTCAAAAAATCAGATATAGTATCAATCAAGGGCGCGTATTGCGCCACGAAACTTTTAAAGGGGCAAGTGGGATTCCTAGGTATTTAACCGGGAAGGTGCTGCTGCTATTTGCTGTCAGCACAGCAACTCATTCTGGACGTAGTGAACCATACTTTTTGGTCACTTTTGGGTTCAGATGCTCTGACGCTTTTTGTCGCCCCACAGTCAAATATCCCACACAACAATAACATCAAAACATCACTCGACTGTGGGACAACGCGAGTGATGGTTAATAAATGAGTGGCTTTGAGTGCATATTTTTGTGTTAGTCGCCTTTCCGAAAAGGGCCAAATTTCTCTGTTTTAACATCTTTAAAATAAAATCTCTTCATCTCTAAGTTATCTTCCAAAAAGTATACGATACTGTTTGGTATGAGGATTAATATAATAAGTACGAGTATTATGTGATGGAAAGTTATGCAAAAAAAGAAAAATTGTGTAAGAATGTGTAAGAAATGTTGTTAATAAAAAATTCTTTATCAAAAAAGAAAAATGAAGTTTATTTTGGGACGGACAATAAAGGAAATTGGAAGATAATTTAGCGATGGAGGGAATATTTTTTATTTTAAAAGTGATAAGTTTATGATTCGTACAAGTATTATTTTTCACTTATCTATACAAATTTTAACTACACAATTCTTATTTTATTATTCTATGTGTAAGTCAAAGTTGGCCAGCCTTTATCCGACGGAGGGAGTGTTATTGTTTAGTAAGAGCCCGTTTGCATCGGCTAAATCTATTGAAATTTATGAAACTGTGGCTGAATTGGTTGAATCTACCGAACTATGAAAAAGTATATTCAAAATATATTTTATTAATAAAATTATAAATAATTTCATGAAAATAGCTAAAATTTTGCTCTGCGGTAACATTAGTCAATTTAGAGGAGTGATTCTAACCTTACTTATTTTTGATTATTACGCAATTCAGCACACAATCAAAAACTATGTTTTGGTAAAAAAGTTGGCTGATAAGCTGAAAGTATAGGTTACCAAACAAGATCTAACATTAAGCGCGCGTCTAGTAAAACTGGAATTGACTTACTCGGGTGAAATTCTTAAATGTCTAACTGAATTGAGTGAATATGCTGAATTGTGAAAATATACATTTAAAATATATTTTATTAATAAAATAAAGAAAATTATACTCTTTCTGTCCCCTTTTAATTAGCAATATTTTATTTTTCTGGTCAATAATGCTAAACTTTGATTGATAATACATTTATATACGAATTTTTTTTATAGTATGAAAATGATATGATTTTTTTTTTTGTTAAAAATAAATTTATAAAAGTATAAAATTTATAATTTTTTTAAAATATATTAATTAAAATGATTGATCAAATTTTATCATCATTAATTGAAAAGGTCAAAAAAGATGACTAACTAAAAAGGAACGAGGTGAAAAAATAGTTGAGTAAATAGTATATGCACTAATTTCAGCCAATTCATTAAGAATATACCAGAAATATGCTTGACATCAAAGCTCTATTTTGTGTGCAATACACGAAAGAAATCTTAAATTATAAAGCAAGTCCTGTATATTGTGTGTTTGGAATGAACACTGAGTTTAGGTTAGCTAGTAGCTACCATTCAATTTGACTTATTTTCTTTATCTTATGACAATGAGGTCAACCTTTCTAATTAGTTTAGTTTTAATCCTTTAGGAAGGTCACATCTTCACCTTGCTACATAGGGAGCTAGCTTGAAAGTAGTAAGAAGTTTTTTTAACTAATCCTATATAGCAATGCATATTAACATATTTTTTTGGTTATATATGACTATATGAGTATAGCAAAAAATGCTTGAGGTCTCTATCCCGCTACTGACTAGGGAAAAAAGGCCGGTTATTGACATTGGTGAAGCTAAGTTAAGTGAACAATTTTCACAAAGTTACCCTCAAGTGAGTTTGAAGAAACTTGAGACATATTAAAATTGAAAAGGACTTAATGTCTACGATTTACTAGCTTATTTATATAGCATTTACACCATGGGAGTTTTTTGTTTGGAGATGACTTGATGATATGCCTATGTGATAGTGTCCTCATAGCAGAAGGCAATGGAAACATATTTCTAATATTATTTTTTGATATTTTTTTGAATTTCTAAAATTGTAAATAACTACAATATGATGTATATTAGTAGTGTGTTCTATGTTCTTGAATTTTCAAATGTGATCCTAACACATTATACGTTAGCTATTGCATGTAGCAATGTTCCAACTCCAAAAGAATTATAAACTTTACTTAAGCTTGTTGTCTTGTACTTAACCATATGTTTGTTGATAACACATTGCTTAGCAACTAGCACAAGTGCTCTTGAAGAAAAGTTTATATGGATAAGAACACCATTATTACAATATGAAAGCCTCACATGTTTAATTCGAGAATTTTACAAATTCCATCTTGAAATAATTTGATTTCAAAATTAATTCCTCTTACTGAATTACTAGAAGTAAACTTACATAGGCGGTTCAAAACAAAGTGCGCAATAATACTTTAATGCACACATATTTTATGTGTGTGAATGTATGCAGACATCCCATTATATTGATACTTATTCAAGATGTTGAAATTATTCTCTACATTAATGATTGAACTAACTTATACAAAAAAAAAAAACTACATCCGCCCCCCTAAGTTTGGGACAAGAGAAAGTGACACAGTTATTAATAAAAGTGGGTTTATGTGGTTGATATTGAATTGATAAAGTAAGAATAAAGTAGGAATGATTTAGAACCACACAAACTTTACCAAATAAGGTATGAGACAATCTTAGTGGGACAGACCAAAATGATAAAATGGGACAATCATAGCGGAACGGAGGGAGTATAAAGCATTGTATTTTGATTCAGTGAACTAAATACTCCCACATACATGTTTATGTAACATGTCGGTGGTACACTGAAATTTGTGTAGCTTTATATTTATGACACCCAAATTGAAGTTAGAAAGATAATAAATATTGTTAGGTGTGTATGTGTCATTATCTATTTTAATGTAACTGATGCGGTTTCTATCACAACTTATGAAATGTTTTATAAAAAGCTGTCTAACTACTTTATCTGAAGTTAATGTAAACCATGTGCATTAATGACATTTTTTTGTGTGTAAGGATGAGAATGGTTATACACAACTACATCATGAAATTATCAATGACTTGAAAAACATGTTGGATGACAACAACATGGTGGTTAAATCTTTTTTGCTTGCGAAGGACAA